GTCCCTGGCTTGTATTGCGCGACTGATGCGTTGAGGGCGAGGCAGCGGGCTTACGGCGTTTGCTGGTTGAGTTGCGTTCCTGGCTTGTATTGCGCGACTGATGCGTTGAGGGCGAGGCACCGGGCTTACGACGCATGCTGGTTGAGTTGCGTTCCTGGCTTGTATTGCGCGACTGATACGTTGAGGGCGAGGCACCAGGATCAGGATTGGTGCCGCCTGATTCATCATTTGTATGTGCAGGGTTTGGCTCCTCCGCCAGTGGCGGGGCAACGACTGGTATTGGGAGATCACGGGTGTTGGGGACGGCTGTGCACACGTCGGCATATTTGGGGCATCTGATGCTTCCACGCCATTTGCCCCCCGACGGCGCAACTGTCTCACCCTCATTGCAGTCGCGCCACGTACCGTCGCCAAGGAACTGCACCCTCAGCTTACCCCCACTGCACTGCGTGTTCACGCATACATCGCCAATATTTTGGTAATCAAAACGAAGCCTCTCTCCCTTTACGCATCGTGAGCCCGGGCCAATGAAGCTTCCAGTGAATTTATTAGGGTTACCGTTGGTGCACGCAGACGCTTCAAGCTCCCTAAGAAACGGACAAAACTCCATATAGTGTGATTCGCCTCCATGTGTGGGTTGATCAAAGTACTGAAACTGCAGTTGAAGGGGCTGGTGATGAGTCGTTAGGTTACACGTCCCCAGAGAAAGACGGTCATACGTGCAGAGCAGTCTGGGGTCATTCCAGAACGTACTGCAGAACAACTCAGGGTAGTCGGTGCGGCCATTGGTCAAGCACTTATTTTCCAGCAGCCCGCAACCAGAGTTGTTGCCCCACTGCAACGGCTCCGCCATGTCGTAGTTGACCTTGTACACACCCATGTCCTCAAATGCAGCAAGCGTGAATGCCGAGTAATAAGCGATCCGGCTCCCAGGACTCATCAACTCCCCCCTTGTGTTGCGTTCATTCCAGTGGATCAAGCTTGCCTCCTCACTAGCCTCACCATCCAGCTCCATGCCCTCAAGTGTGGAGCAATTATAGTACTTCCTCGCCAGCTCCTTCACCTTCGGTGAGGAAACCACCCACACCTCCTTCTTCCCTCGCACATTGGAGACATTGGAGAGCATATTGAACTCTGAAAACTGATTGAACGAAAACCCAAGGGCGTGCCCAATCTCGTGCGTTGTAATACGAACAGCTTCATCAGTGGCCCTTATGTGCCGCGGGTTGAAGTTTACGACGCCAGCGCACGGGCGTCCGTCCTTTAGAGTGGCGCATACATCCGCCACTGCAACGAATTCCCTACCTAGGAAAGCGTTGACGTAGAGGATCATGTCGGCGCCGCTCACGCCGATGGTGTGGTGCCAGGAAGGGATGGTGAAATTGCTGCACGGCCCTAGACCATGATCTGGCATGGGCATACGGATGGTATCTTCTACAGGCTTCACGGACAGACGATCGGTGTGCATCTTAATTGCTGCCGGGAGGAGTTGCTTCAAAATAATGTCCTTCTTCGCCTCCGTCAAAATAATGTCCTCTGTGCATTTCACCCTTCTGCCA